GCAATTTGTACTAGTCCCAAAAGAGATCATGCATATTCTATAAAATAATGTGAGGGTTAAGCATCAACTCTTCAGTATTGCCAGAAAAGGAGTCATGTTTCAAACTCTTCTCATAGCTTGAAACCTCAACATTTTTTTCTGCCAGAGATAAAATTATGTTGCACCTCACTCTACTTTCAATATTTAGACTGAATTCAGGACTGTTTTTATTACACATACATGCACTTCTGGTATTTGACATACTTATCCACTTTTCTCTACATTTACAGGTAGTAGATATTAATATTTATACTTACTCTCATCTAGAGTGCGCTTTGGATTATTTTTTACCATAAAAGGTAGATTTTGAAAATTATATAGAATATCTGTGCAAAGACACGGACGATTTGTTTCTAAAATAACTTTATAAACAGAGCTAACATTTATTGGGCACTTATTACATGGCTGGCAATGTCAGAATGCTTCTATAGATCATCTTGCTGAAGACTCATAATAACTTCATGATAATAATACTATTATCCCAATTTTACATAAAAGGAAACTCAGGCACAGAAAGATTAAGCAGCTTTTTCATGACTACCCAGATAAGGAATAGCACAAGTAGGATTTAAACTCAGGCAATCCGGCATCAGAGCTAACTACTAGGAATCCTCTTCTTGCTGCTTAATAGTGAGGCATTTTCCTTCCGAACGGACAGGTGAGTAAACACATAAAGCACTTGTTATACAGCCTGGAACATGGTAAAATATTGATAAATGGTAGCCCCCCCTGTTAAAAATCATAACTGTCCAACCAAGTGCCTGGCAATTAGGTGGTTTCTGTTCTCACATTGGCTCAATGTTTTCTGATTATATATATATATATTTTTTCCCCTCCCCATTCTCCCATCAATATCATGTTATCACTTTGCAAGTATGAGAATAATACCAAATGTCTCCCTCTCTTCCTGCTTCAAAATAATTCTTCAAAATAAATCCCACTTCATTCTGTAAATACTACTTACTGTTTTTAAGAATTACATAAGGTAAGTGGCTACAAGTAACCAGGTTGAAACAGATCACTGGACATTCCTCCAGCTCTGTAAACACACGCTGCCCTGTTGGTGACAGGACACTTCATATCCAAGAATGTTTACAAGCACTTCAGCCTGAGGAGCCGCTCAGTTAACAAAACAGGTGGGTGATGTCATCTGGGGAGCCTAGGGCCCTGCTTCTACTCATTGGGGATACCAAGTTGCTTGAATTTTCCACCACTTGTCCTCACAAATGCCTCTTCTATCAGCAGGGAAGGGAGACCCAATAGTTCTAGAAAAGGGCTAGGCTTGTTAATACGTTTGTCCCAGGCCATTTAAGAGAGAACAAAAACAAAAAAGAATCCTTGGCAATGTTTCAATGAAAGAAAAACACATCAGCCAACCGATTCAAAGGGAAGGATAGAGCCAATACCAAAAAGAAGAAAAAACACACAACTTTTGGTTTTGTAATTCAGGCCTCAATAAAAAAGGTTTGTTGAGCCGAATCAATCGGAAGAGCCTGGGACATGGGAGGTCTGGCATCTAGGCGGCCCTGGATATCACAGGGCCCCTGGTTCATGGATCCACGTTGCCAAGCCCAGAATGATGCTGAGGTTGTTTATTTTGAGAAAAGAAGAGGAATTAATGGCTCCAAGGACTTGGGACCTATAAGAGCCATTATTATGGAATAGACAATTCTGTTGTTGAATATCTGCAGCCCTTACAGTGTGTAATTTAATATTCAGTTAATGTTATAAAAATTATATAAAAACTAGAGGCCTGGTGCACAGAATTTGTGCACTATTAGAGTCCCTAGGCCTCGCCAGCGATCAGGCCCAATTGGGGCCTTCTGGCTGCTGGCCAGGGCCTCCTAGCTGCTGGCTGCTCGCCTAGACCTTTCTTTATTCTGCACCACCCCCCTGGAGGCCAGCACACATCATAGCGAGTTATCCGTCTCCCAGTCAAACTCCCATAGGGACAATTTGCATATTAAGCTTTTATATATATAGATGTGGATGCTATGAAACATAGCCATATATATCTATTACATATCAGTCACACATGGCGCATGTAGGTTAAAAAGCCTTTTTCTCCTGAAGATTTCCCTCCAATAGATGTGTTTATGCCTCTGCCTGTGATACAGCACACAGCGGAGTGGGGCTGAGAAGCTGAGTTCTCTCAGCATTATATCCCCCCCACCCACCCACCCATCCCTGAATGTTGTGAGGTACTCTTATAGCATCCAAAGAAAGGCCTGGCTATTGCATGTGTATCATGACACAAGTTTCAGTGGCTGTTTTTAGAAAGGGTTGAAATTTGGGATTGAAGGGCACTAGTATGGGAGCCATATGAGGGGTAGTGTCCTCCTAACTCCTAATTTGGGCCAACCAGAGGCAATGCTATCGTTAGGGCATCTAAAAGCCCTTCCTTGGAGGGTGGCTGAGACTAAAATGTGAAAAGAAAGGTTGAAAAAGAGTGTGTGTGTTTTCCCCATAAACCAGAATGGCTATCAGTTATTCATACTCCTAAAATTAGGAAAGGTACACTGGTATCTACCATTATAAGGAAAATGACAAGAAGGAGAGAGACGCTGATTTCAAAGCAACACTATTTAATGCCCTGTGCTTTTAGATAATTGCTACCGTGTTTCCCTGAAAATAAGACATCCTCTGAAAATAAGACCTAGCACAACTTTGGGAGAAAATATTAATATAAGACACTGTCATATTTTTGGGGAAACAAGGTAGTTTCAAGTTGACCTCTTTTTGCATCAAGGAATAAATATTCGCATCAAAGAATGGAATGCCATTTATTCTATTTATATGGCTTAACAAGCATAAACCACCCTGGATGGGGTAAAAGCTTCCTCTCCATAGAAAACCACTACCTGATGGGAAGAGAAACCAATATACTAAAAACTAATCTAGAGACAAGTTCACCCTGATTTTTTTTTCCAGTAAGATAGTAGAGAAAACTTCATTGAAAGAGAAGGCCAACCCATCTAGTTTAGTGGGAATCACAGTTGTGGTGCTGGAGAGCAGAGCAAGAGCCACCAAGGAAGCTCTTAAACCCATGTCAAAGAGAGAATAGCAGGTAGATTAGATGTGCAGGGCACAGAAACACCTGCTTGCTCTTAAGTCTCTCCCCCCACGGAACTATCTGTTTATCCGCTATGCCTGTGTTCAGGCAATGCCGCTATGAACCCTGAACAAAACGCTAGCCTGCTACTTGAAAGGGATGTTCCTTTAAAACATTGCCCCATCCTTAATTCTTCAGACCACCTACAGGGGACCACAAAAACTTCTGAAAGCATAGACAGAGGACACCTAAAGGGCCGTACCAAAAAAAAAAAAAAACCCTTTACAACTTTACAGTTTGAGTTAGGTCTAAGACCTCTGTAATTCACTATGATGGCCTTTGAAAGGGCAGTAGAAAAAGTCACAATCCAGCTCCTCATCCCATACCTTGTTGAATGAAATACTGTATGGTATCTCCAAACATAGGATAAAAGTAAGGGACATTCCAATACACCCTCATTACGGTTAATGAAATTAAGGTGAATCTGATCAGCAGCATCTTATTATAGAAGCATGCACAGGAATGGTCAGTAGCCAAACAATTACTCTCTCTGTTCAATTTCGATTTTGCTCAAAACCTGCTTCAGGTCTTTGCCAGCATGCCAGGCTCAGAAATGCGATCGGTGATGCCAATATGAAGACGAGGCAAATGTTGTTTTCTTCCTGCAAGGAACAGGCAAGTACGTCTGCTTATCTTCTTCAGCCACAGTCTTACCAAGGGCTACTCAATTCATTATTCAGAAGCATAAAAAGTGTTGGGGGATGTTCTATGTGACTTACGGCAGTGAAAAAAAAAAAAAAAAAAGTAGCCTTTATATGTTCCCCCTTCCTCTTTCTTAAACATCTTTTTCACTCAATCACTCATAAACAACTATTTATTTGGGAAGCCTCCTCTGTCCAAGACAATATCTAAAGCATCAGCTCCTATTAGGGAAATCTTAATTTCCCTAATTAAGAAAGGTGAAACTGTCATTCATGTCCGTATTGACTATCAAATACAAGATTGGTCTTTAGAAAGCCTCATTTCATTCTATGTCATTTCATCCTATTATATCAACAGTAAACAGGTGGGTTCAACAATTCAGGTAAGCTTTTGATTTGGGCATCTCTTGGGACATAAATGAACCATATATGTTTCTTTATCCAGGAGTTCCTCGAAACCAGTACTCAGCCGAAAGTTTGAGAACTCATTTTGGAACAAACCTGATTCCTGCAACCGGGCTAGATTTTTATCTGCTTTTCTGACCTCTAGGAATCCCTCTTCGTTGATGGGAGTTCCAATCCCTCAGGAATGAATCAGGAGGAAAGAACGCACACAACCAAAACCCTACACCTCCAGCCCCTCAGCCCCAAATCCCTACCCTCCACCTCTCCAGCGGCCTCTCTCTCAGCGGGTTCTTCCCAGCGAGGCGGCGCACGGCCCGGAGGACCGTTCCCGCTTCTCCCGCTAGAGGGCAGCCGGGGCCCGTGCAAAGCACTCGGGGCTGGGACACGCGCGCACCAGCCTCCGCTCCGGCCGGCGCTCCGGGTCCGTCTCCCGGGCTCGGCGCGGCTCAGGCGCCGGGAAAGGGGCGCACCTGGGAGCGCTGTCCATCCCGGACCCCCGGAGAGCGCCACCCCGGGCTGCCACCCCGAGCCTCGCGCGCTGGGTGCGGGCGCCCAGGTGGGGCTGGGCACCCAGGTCCCAGGTAAGGGGCGGCGCCAGGGAAGGAGAGAACCGCCCCGCTCGGCGAACGCCCGGGAGCCGGGCCAGGCGCCCTGGGCGCAGGGCGCGGGCAGGCGGGCGAGGGAAACGCAAATGCACCGGAGAAGGAGAGAGAAGAAGAGGAGGAGGAGGAGGAGGAAGAGGAGAGGAAGAAGAGGAAGAGGAGGAAAAGGAGGATCGCGGAGCCCTCGTGCGGCGCACTCACCTGGGCTCGAGCCGCCCTCCGCGGGCGCGGGCTTCTTGCCGCCGGAGCCCCGGTCCTTCTTCTTGCCCTTCCCCTTGCCTCTGCCCTCTCTGCGCTCGGACATCTCGCCGGAAAAGTGCACGCTCTGCGCGGACGGCGAGGATGCGCGACAAGTTTGGTCCGAGGGCTGGAGTCGGGGTTGGGAAAAGTTTGTGCCCCGAGGGGAGAGGGTGACCGGCTGTGGCGCGGAGCGTGGCTCCTGTCGCCTCCGGGAGCCCCGCGCGCGGCGTGCGGTCCGGCCACCTGGGACCGGCGATCGCGCGGTCGGCCGGTCTCCCGGGCGCTCGGGGCTGCTCCTGTCGCCTGGGAAGTCCGCGGTGCCGCCGGCTGTGGGCTCCTGTCCTGGCCTCTGTCCGGCTCTTGCTTGCAGCCCGGAGGGGGAAAGGTTCACTGTCCAGCCCGCTCCCAATGCCCAGGCCAAGCCGCCGCTCCGCTGCTGCCCTCCCTCCGCGCGCGCCCGGAGTCCCAACAAGTTTTGGGGAAACTCTTCGCCGGCTCTTTTTCAATTGCCCCACAGCCACCCACCTCCCTCCCGCCCGCAGGTTGGAGGCTGGCGCCTCCTCCTTCGCACCCTCCCCTTCCCCGCGCCCCCTCCCTCTTCCCTACCACACCCCCACCCACCCCGAGGCGCGGACACGCCACCGGGAGGAGCCTGGGCTCGGCGTTGCCGGGCGCAGCCCCTTTCCCTCCGCACGGGCCCCGCGGGGCTGGCGGGAGGGCGGGGGGCGGCCGCGCGCCCCGCGGCTGCAGGGAACTCCCGGCAGGGGGCGCTGCAACCTGCGCGGAGCAGCCGCCGCCGCGGGAAGGGAAGGGAACCGAGCGGCCCCGGGAGATGGGAGGACCCAGCGGCTCGCGCTCCTTGCTCTCCGGAGCCAGGGAGCGCGAAGGGTGGATCCGTTCCCTTTTTTTTTTTTTTTTTTGCAGAGAAATGTTGGAGAGACAAAAGTTTGCAACTCTGACACCTGTCCCCCAAATGAAGGCTCAGGAGCCCCCGGGAAGGAGAGGAGTGTTTTGATGTCTTCCCGGGAGAGGCTGAGGCTCCTGCCTCTCTTGCTTTAGTGAGTTGCACGCACGGAGGACCAGGATAGCTCCGGGCGGAAGGGAGTTTGCGGGTAAGACAGTCCTGGGCGCGCAGGAAGGGCGCTCAGTAGACCTGAAAGGGGGTCAGATCGCACCTTCTTCATGGATCTGCTTTGGATGTGTGTGTGCGCGCGCCTGCCCTTTCTTCATGGTTTTAATTAACAAAGTGCCTGTTACAACGTGCCATCTTCTGCTTTTCCTAAATTAAATAATAATCACCTGCCCTTTCCAAAGGGGCTGTCCGATGCCATCTCTCACTACAACTTAATTTCAGATGAACTGCGAACCCCTGGTTAAAAAGCGATCCACAGTTAAAGGTCTGCACTACCGGCGCGCCCCTCAGCTGAGATGAGTGAGCGAGCAGGGAGGGAGAGAGGAGAGCAGCAGGGAGCTCTATAATTCCTTCATGCTAGCTTTCTCCAACTCCAGCTTCCTCCAGACTGCAGGGCAAAGCCTATTTCCCGTCCCTTGTCCTCCCTCTGGTGGAGAATTCCAAAGAGCAAGTGAGATCCAAAAAACGTTCGCTGCAGCCAGCTGCAGAGGACAAAAGTTAAAGGCCGGAGTGACCTGCACCACAGAATGATCCAGACTCATGTCAAGAGAACATTCTCCTAGCTGTATCACAGCTGTGATGGAACGTCCAATGTTCATCGACAGGGATAGATGTGGGGGGGTGGTCAGGAAGAGGTGAGCATGAGCAATCCGTACATGAAATGAAGGTTTCCCACTTTAATAGTGTCTACTTGCTCCTGGTTTTCTATTCTGTGGGGTTAAATGCTAATGAAACCGTTACCTATATACAGCCTTCTAGGTATATTTTTAAATTGCCACAATTTAAGTAAAGATGAAATTCGAAGTGCCTCCATGTATGTGAGAAGGGCGCAAAAATATTCATTTTGAAACTGTCCTAAAATAAGAATAATTGTATTCTCGTGTAATTTGCATTATTATAAGAACCAAACTGTTCGGGTGGCTTTCATTGTTAAAAGATGTCTGATTAGTATTACCATCATTATTTTTGAAAAGGTTTGATATTCAAATGTTTTCTGATAGCCTTTCAACAAAAATATACATTTTACTGAGCTACGGAAAAAAAAAAATACAGCAAAATTAGGGAAAAGAGTATGACTATCTCTGAATAGCACTATATATAATATTCCACAAATTCCAGTGTCAAATGGAGCCCAAGGTTGGCTGAAATAACTCTGCTTTCCCAGGAGGGGACACTGCTCAACAAGCAGGAAACAGCAAAATTCAGGAAAGGGGAGTCCTTTTCAAAAGGGTACTTCATGGCCAGGATGTAAGACCCTGTAAGGGCTTAATACAAAATAGCCACATGTTATCAAATAGATCGTTATCATTTAACATTGAGAGATATAAAGGGAACCATACTTCGGAATCTATAAAAAGTTTCAGATTTTACCGTAAAGCAGGAAGCCTGGGGTAAACCCCAGAGCTATGGACATACTACAATTCAGTCCCTTTTGTATCTGGATGTTTTACTTCACCAAACAGCCTATTAATTCCTACTGCAGTCATTTTTTTCAGTAAGGTAAATGGAAAATCCCACAATTTTGTGATAATTTTCCATTGGAACAGACCTATAGTAGTAGATGACAGCTTTCTCAAACCCAGCACAGAGGACGTACAGAAAAGCTTGCTGATATGTGGTACCTTTATAATAAAGCATGGTAGCCCCAAAGCAATGTCAGGGTTCCCGTGGAAAAGCTCAGGCCTGGGGAATGAGCGGATAGGAAGAGAAGATGGATATAAGTAAGCATTCAATAATTGTCTCTCCTTAGTTTGATGTGATGGGGAGAAAAGGGGACAAAAAAGCCCAATGATAAATGTTGAAGAAACTTTAAAGAACAGTGATGAAGGGGCAATTGGATGATAAAGTTGCTTCCTGGGACTTTCAGATTCTGGAGTCATATGTTAATTGCCAGTTGCCACTGACTTGTCAGGAAATTGATGGCAAAATCCAAAATTTTTTTCTATCACTACATTACTTATAAGTCTTTATCCTTTATGTTACCTCATGTTAATTTTTTCAGCAACTTATTTTATTAAATTATTTATGACTAGCTAAAAGATTAACCAAATAAAAGACCATTACTCGGATAGTTAAAATATTTGTGATTTATCAAGAATTTGAGATTGTTCTTATTAAATTATTCATCGCTGTGGTTGGGAAGTGGCAAATGAATTTTCACAAGCACACCTTCTAATCATTATTAGAAGAAGAGATGGAGAAAGAAGGAAATATATATTTTTTTGGAAATAAATATATTAATCTCAATTATAAAAAGATGATATATTTTCATGGTATAATTTTATGAATTTTTGAGTACTACTCAACTCTTACAGTGTGTATCATAGAGAGTGTATAACATATGTCAAGCTGTCATCAATGTTAACTCCTGAAAAACAGAGTGGAAATTTACAAATAAGCAATTTGAGAACTAAAGACAAAATGGGTATCTTACATTAAAGGACAGCTTAAAATAAGAGCAGTCATGTGCCATAACATTTTTTTATTGGCTAGGCCTAACTTTTAGATACATCCTCAAAATCTACAAAGTTGACAATTTCTGAACATCTCGAATAAAATTTTATAAAGAAAATGAGAGAACATTATCATGGGAAGATAAATTCCATTTTTGCAAAATACTGTGCACTTTAACAAAAATTATTAATTTACAATTCTGCAATAGATGCTTTTAACTTTTAAAATGAAGTAATTTAAGATAATTAACAGAAAGATTACTTTTTTAAAAACTTTGCAACAAAGTTGACATTAATAAAGATGCATCAATGCAAGAGAAAGTCTCACTCAGCAGACCCAGCTCCAAACAACCACTAAATGTGCTTGGCTCATTCATTCATTCATTCATTCACCAAGCAGTTACCAAAGTAAGTGTCAGATAGCAGAGAAACCAACGAGCAAGAATCACCCCTATTCTCATGAAGCTAAGTATTATGAGAAAGCTAGGAAAACAAATTAATTATTATACTACAAATGCAATGCAGAGACAGATAAGTTTTCCAGGGCCCGAAGCTCATAACATTTGGGAGATGTTCTTAAAGGAAAAGAACACAAAATTAAAAGTGCAAATTTGAGTCCAAGAACATTAAAGGGGGCCCTTGGATTGGGGTGGGGGGAGGGAGGGCACTGAAGAGTAGGCTTCATAGCTTCACTGTAAATTCACCTGTAGTGGTTCAAAGCAAATTCCACCATCTGCACAATTAGAGTCATGATAAAGCACAATTCTACACTATCTTACAGATTAGATAATACTATCACTACAAATAGGAGACATTAACAAGCAATACAAAAAATACACACAAAACTGAAACAAGCAAAGAGTATCTATCATGTGAGGAAAATGAGATGCATTTGAGCCTTAAGAATTCACAGATTGGCAATTGTTCTTTATGTTCAGACTCTCAGAACCAGCATGCAAGATGACTTTGTTCAACAAAGGGCTTCTGACCAACAATATGCTCTAGCAAAACTGGAAATAGTGTCCTCCATTACATTTGGCAAATATTTAACAGAATTACTAATTAACCATATTCTGTCTGCTAGGAAGTCAGTTTGAGAACAAAATTGTGAGTTTAGAATCCTAAGATAAATATTAAAAAGGTAATGTTCAAACCACACTAAAATGAAATCTGTTTGTTTTTCTGCTTGTTTGTGTGATTTTTAAAAATTACTACTCACTGCCCCGGCTGGCATGGCTCAGTGGTTGAGCATCGACCTATGAACCAGGCAGTCTCATAATTGTGGGGATACAGCACAAATTAAAACTGGATATAATAGTTGAAGATTAGTGCCTCATTTCTTTTTATGAATTATATTTTACAAATAGAGCCACTATCATAAGTCTCTTCGGTAATAAGGTAGAAGCTATAAGACTTAATAGTTTTTTAAACATTTTAAGGAGAAAACAATCTCATGCAGTTTTTCAATTTCACTTCCTC